CGGCTTCATAAACTCCTTAGGACTCTTGAACTCTGTGCTCTGATACCAAGTTTGTCATGACCCGAGCCTACACCCTGGGCGAGACTGGCACTCGAGAACCATTGCTGGCCCCTAAGCGAACCCTTGGTCTGGCTTACTTACTCAACTGAAGACTTCACTTATCAAAGATAACACTTATAAAACTTAGAATGTTATAAAGAAAACATTCAATTAGCCAATAAGGCAAACTCAAGTCTCAAGATAAGATAATGAAATGAAAAGACTAAAGAACTAACATTTGACTGACTATGAAGCCTCTAAACAATTGAGGTAGATGTCAGGACAAGACCCACGACATTCTAATAAACTAATAATAATACTGAAAGCAATAAAAGGGATCCTCCAGAAAGCAAGGAGGCTCACCACAAGACTTTGAGTTCTCACTGGATCAACGATATGCTGGATGTTGATCCTAGTTACCTGTGTCTGCATCATATAAAGATGCAGGCCAAATGACATCAGTACATTGAATGTACGAGTATGCGAGGGGAATTCTAAAACAAGACATAAGCTTGAAAGGAACTGAAGAACTTACCTGGCTCAACTCAACTCAAACTTAACTGAACTCATTTCAATATAAAGCAGTATAAAACAAGTGCAATATAAAGAAAAGCTTTTCAAAACATGGATATCAACTCTGTGTATTTGGAAATACAATAATAACTCTGATGTGTATGTAAAGATATAATTAAAACTCTGAGATGTATATAAAAAATACAAAATAACACTAATGTAGGAGTTTCTCTAACCGACAACCATCACTTAAGAGCTATTGTGATGATACAGCGTTCTGCCTTATGCTGTCAGGGCCGTCCTATACCTTGCCGAGGGTATAAACCTGAACTACTAAGTGGATCCACTAGTCTATGCTAAAAAGCACTAAAGGAATCATCTAAAAAGCATGATCATTTTCTACCCATGATGGCTACATGATTTATGGGGATTGTGAGTTGTCTGAACTCTCCCCCATATTGATGCTCAATACTACTCCCAAAATATGATAGTAGCTCTTATGTTTAAAAACATACTTCTTTCTGTGATTTGAAATAATTGCTCAAAAACTTAGCTCAAAGGCTACCTTGGAAATCAAAGTTTCCCCTCTTGCTTAATTGTGAAAGCGTTTACTCTTTACAGAAAACTAGCTCAAAGGCTCTTTGGAAATCAAGGTTTCCTTTCTTGTTTAAATGTGAAAACATTTTAAACTCTTTGGGAATACATAGTCCCCATATACTTCTTTAAAGAAATGAACTTCAATCATTACTTTTTACTCTTTACTCAATTTGAACTTTAAGTCTTAAAACAAAGTTAAAATATTTGGAAAACTCTAAGAACTCTTTTTGACTTGACTCTTACTTCTCTTGACGTTGATCTTCACTTTCTTTGAATTGGATTATGGATTCAAGGTTCATGATCTCATTTTATTTTCATGATGTTTAGACGTACCTTAAAGTGTTGGAATCAACTAGAAAACATAGGTGCGTTGCTAAGGAACTAGTACGAAAAGATGGGGAAGGAATGGGAAGAGAACTGGCGCTCTGAGAGGCGCGGGGCGCCAGCCCTTTAAATTCAGAGAGTGACTTGGGGTGCTTTGGCTGGCGCGGCGCCCTAAAGGTCAAAATTCATAGGACGCTTCTTGGGGCTTTGAGAGGGGCGGCGCCCCACCTAGGTGCTCCCCGACTTTTCTTCTTCGTTTTTCATCTGTAAACCCTCTAATTCAACTTGGTTCTTTCCCCAAACACTTAGAATAAACTATACCATCAATATATGAAAGATTCTAATCGAATTCACACCTAAAATCATGGATTCGAATCAAACAACTCCTCAACAATTTCAACGAATCAAGAATTCAATATAACTTCAACAAACCCATCAAGAACTCAATTTCTAAGCTTTCAAGAACTTAAATTTGCTGAAATAAATCATGATTGGCGTGTGGGTGAACTAACCCAACTCTATGTGATCTCACATACCTCGTAGGGATCACCTCTTGACGAAATCCACAAGCGATTCTTGAAGAACTTGACGATTCTTGCTCCTTCTCCTATTTTCTCTTCTCATTTTCTCTTCTCTAAAACCCTAACTCAATATCGTAAAACCATAAACTGAATCTTATCAGTTTAGACCCCAATTAATTACCAAAAAAATAAATCAAGTCATGGGTATGGAAAAGACCATAATGCCCTTCAAAAATCTAGATTAGACTTTCCTTATTTGAATAGCCCAACTTCAAATGGGCATATCTCACTCATACAAACTCGGAATCGCGCAAACTTAGCGGCGTTGGAAAGATTATTCAAAGATCTTTCCTACGATATCTGGAAACCTACCTAACCCATCCTGAGCTAGGAGTTATGGTCGTTTGAAGTTGACCAAAAACTTATCTTAACAGACTCAACAAATTTTCCAAATTTTTATATTCTTTCCAAAAATAACTATTTCCAATTCTTAACTTCTTCCTAGCTATTTCAATTTGCGAGATGTTACATTAGAGGTTCTTGAGTTATGTGATAATGACAAATAATCAAATTCATGTGGGAATATTGCTAATATTTTTTAAGAACCTATTTTCCATTATTTTTAATGTATGGATATTAGTAAAGGATTATTTGCAAGCTTAATGCAATTATTATTTATGATCGCGTGAAACATGGACAAATTACCTAGTTGGTATATGTGATTGAATATTAATGGGGACAGCATGAAAAAGAATTGTTGAGTGTTCCAATCTACTCCCTCTATTTCATATTAACTAAATTTGTGATGCATGCACACTTATTAAGATAAACTTTTAAGGATATAATTTAAACCGTACTTTTCATTATTAGATTTTGTGGAATCATAAATATAACTTTACATGTACTGTAATTTATCTCCTAGAAAATATCAAACTTCATAAAAGAAAAGGATAAATATAAAAAAAAATCAAACATACATCTTAAACTTTGAACAGTTCAATTATTTTAAATAATAAAAAGACTCCAAAAAAGCAGTTAATATGAAATAGACTATTACTTTTTCCTTTTAGTTATTATGTTCCATCATCATGCACCTAATAATGATGACATCTCTCTTTAATTAATAAACACTATATACCTAGCAGTTTGGGGTCAGCCTAGATTTTTTTAATAATAGAAAGTGGGTGTTACCTAGCATCTTATAAGACAAGGTATCAGAACAAATAATTAGGACTACTTGTACTCCCTCCATCCATAATTGTTTGTCAGGGTAAGGTCATGCACACCCCTCAAGGAAAATTTAATACAAGGTGTAATTTGACTAATATAACCCTACTATACCAAGAATACCAAAAGTCCACATAACTTTTCAATTGAACTACACTATCATTAAGGGCAGAATTGGAAAAAAGTGACTAATTATTTCTTGATTGTTTAAATTGACAATTAATCTTGGACATCTATTTTTAGTATACCTGTCAAACAATTGTGGACGGAGGGAGTATTAGTTTAAGGATTTAAGTTAGATTAAAGTTATATACATTTATGGGGTAGACAATTTTTTTAATTACATTTTCGAGTAACTTGGATCGTGGTAGTAAGTTAGCTACTTCATTTATTTTTTTTAATAATTGTAAATATCTTTTAGTTGTCGGTGCACAGAGAAATTACACTTATAATTATAACTCCCTCGGTCTCAATATATATGATATATTTTGGATTTTGAAATTCAGATAAATCTATTTTTGACTTTAAATTTTTCATATATCTTTTAAATATTTTAAATTATCAATTATTGTAACTTATAATAATTTTTACAAATAAAATGTGTCATATAAATTAGAGCAAAGAGGGTATATTGATTATATTCCCTTCATTCATTTGAAAATATTGGGAAATGAATAATATACTCCTTCATTTGAAAATAAGTAAATTGTTAATGTAATGAATATCCATTAAGAAAAGAAGTTTAGGAGATAAAGTGAACATCACTTTCTGCTTTTGCCCTTTTAGTTATTTTTTCAAATTATTCTTGAAAATATAAATAGTTCAAAGTAAAATTATAAATATATTAATTCTCTTAAAATTATCACCTAGAAAATATTAATAAGGGGCAAAAAAAGAAAGAAATTTCTAATAACTTTCTTGAACATTATACAATTTTTTAAATTTTGATCTATGAAAAAAGATTACCAATTCACTTCTTTTGAAATAAAGAAAGTAATATAAGAAAGTAATATGTAAAAAATAATTAAAAGGTAATAAACTATTTTCTGATTTTTAAACTAAACAAATAAAAATATATACTCTATTCTTAAGAATGGTAAACTAACAAAAACAGAGAGAGAATGTATATCGCTTGGCACCATAAGAAAGTCGGTTGATCTACCAACTCTGTACTTGTGTTACATCCTCATTAATATGGTGAGGATGCATTACTTAGAGCTCACCCATGACCATCCATAAGGATTACGGTGGAGCAGTAAAAAAAAAATTTTAATTTTAATTAGAGGTTTTACGTTTGAGTTTTTTTGGTATGAATTCACCTTTTCTTAAAAAGTGTTTTACCTTTTTATGTGAAATTCTTCAACATAAATTTAAATTTAATCAAATTTTAATATAGACACTACAAACCGAGTTATTTAAGAAAATAAAATTGAGCAACCCAACATCTGATTTTCAATGAACAGTTGCTTTTAATGTGTAGAATTATTGACAAAGAAATGAATGCAAAAGAACAATTATGAATGTCAGGGCCTAAAAAAGCATTGGGAAAATAATGCATGTGGGGCTCCTTTTCAAGAGGTAAGCATCTTTGTCAAGATTTAATGTCACTTTGTCCTCTAAACATGTGGTGGTTTGTATGTGCAATGTCTATCACTCTTGCTCTGGCTTAAATTTAGGGGTAGCTTCTAAAAGATGGAATTTCTCCATCAACAACAATTTATACATTTCATTAATAACAATTTGTCATCTCAGAATTGAATAATTTGCCATTGATAAAATCAATTGATGGCTCTGGTTTCTTGGGCTAAGAAGGAGCTTTCTAGACTCAAACTCCAAAACATGCCTAAAAGATTGACACTTCCTCAAACTTCCACCAAATGTTTGGCACTTCCTCTGGTAAGTCACCAATACATCTTTTTTTTAAAAAAAATCGGTCACAGTTCAGATAGTCAACCAACTGAGCTATTAAAATTCTCAGTCACCAATAGATCTGTCTCTCAGTTCCTGTTTTTTTCCCTTTATTAACAACCGTGGTGACCAAATCAGTTACAATCACATTGACTATTTTAATTAGTTTGAGTAAATACTCTGCAGTGTATTTTAAAATGAAATCCTTATATGTGATTATATTGCTATTAGTAAATTAATAGACTTGTTAATCTAAAAAGTCACATAATTATCATATTATAAAGCTTTGAGTTGATTGCTTTTGGTGATGAAATGCAGATCCAGGAAGTGGTATTAGATGCAGATCTAAGATGTGCCAACTGCCAAAACAGAGTCTCTAGTGTAATTTCAAATGTTGAAGGTGAGTTATCTCTACATTTTGTATGTGTTTGATCATAAATAATGTGATAATTGAAAGAAAAAAAAGTTTAAGTTCGATTTTTTAAAAAATTGAAATTGTGCATAGAATATACTTCCTCCGTTTCTATTTATATGTCATCATTTTGGATTTAACATCTCTTAAAATCCTATGTAAGTTTATTATTGTATCCTTATTTAATAAAAATTCTTGAAGTCAAGTTTCAATAAATGAACATAATTTATTTATTTTAATTAATTAAATTGACTAATGGACATGATTAAATTCATGATTTCGAAGCCAATACTCCCTCCGTCCCTATTACTTGTCCATTTTTTTACTTGACACACAATTAATAAAATAATAATTGATATAGTAAATTTTAACATTATTCCCTATTAATCGATAGAATTCCAAAATCAATTTACTCATCAAAGAGATTATATTTTTTTTTCAAAACATCAACTCTTTAAATAAATTGAGGGTATTATAGATAAAAAAACATATTGTATTTTCTTGATTTTTCAAAAAGGACAAGTGAAAAGGGACAAGTAACAAGTCAAGATTGGATAAATAAAAGGAGTAACTCTCAAAGGTAAAATAGAAAGAATTTATGCATTGATTTTGTGAAAAAACAAATATTAAGGATTATCTATTTTTATTTAGAATGACATATAAATAAGAACGGAGCGACTATTTTATTAGGGAAAAAGTTAAGAAAAAAATATAACTGTGTTTTTGAAAGCTAAGTAATAATCCTAATTCCTATATTGATCCATTTAAGCTTTCAACTGAATATTGCAGATGTGGAGTCTATCGTGGTGCACGTACTAGATAAGAAGGTGACTCTTATTCGCAAATCCACAAGTAAATGACGTTGAAAGCAAATTCATTCAAACAAAACAATGTTACAATTTAGGGACTCAACCATCAGTACAATGTCATATTACACTAACTGTTGCAATTTATGTACAAATGGTTGTGATCTACTTGTTTGTTGAAGAATTTCACCTTGTGAGAAATAAATTGTTGACCTAAACATCTGAAGTTCTCATGTAGTAGTAATTACTTTCTGTCGACAAACAAACAATCAACGATTTACATAAAGTGATGGGACAGTTTTACTCTTAATCACAAATCTTAGATTCAAGCCTTGGATATGAAGAAAATGTTGTTGGGAGCATCATCCCCAAAATGAGTCATGCAGTACGGAATTTAGATTTGATTGGTTTCTAATACAAACATTGAATACGGAGTGAGTAATAAAAAATAATAATCTTCTATATTACCTTAAAAGCATGAACTCCTAACTTGAATGTTAAATTACTATAATATCCCTAACTTAGATTGTGACTCTTTCGATGAGTTGTGACTATTCCGATAAGTTGTGATTTTATTTAAAGGGTTGTGATTTTTCAATGAATTGCGACTTTTCCAAAGAGTTGTGACTTTTTCAATAAGTTGTCTTTTCCAAAGAGTTGTGACTTTTTCAACAACTTGTGACTTTTCCAAACTGTAGTGACTTCTTGGAAAGGTCATGATTTTTCATATAAGACACAAAAAATATTTTTTCTAATCTTCTACTCTTCTTCTTGTTGCATTTAAATATTTTTTGTGTGATTTATTGTCGTTGAGTGAGTTCGCAATTTAGCGGAATATGAGGTACCACTATACTAATGAAGTAAGTTGTTCTATCCTAAGAGGGTATATTCCATAACCTCGACTACTTGAGAGAAATAATATAGTTTTGATAATAGAATAATTATTATTTTTGCTTAATATATGCATTAGTATGTAATGTTCCAATATATGAAGTTAACATAATGTAGTCTAAATTCATTTGTTTTTGTTAACAATTTCTCTTGTGATGTAGATATATGCTTCTGAATATCATTTTCCAAAATTTAGAAAATTGTCACGATTTATTTTTGATGCTCAAGATAAAAGAATGACTTTATTTATCAATGCTACTTATGTGATTTAGACTCTCAAGAAGTTTACTTCAAAATAGTTATTACTATATAAACATTGCCCTTTTGTTTTACTTATTTACTATTTCTTAATATTTCATTATTTTAGACGAAGAAAATCTCATATGACTTGTAATAACGCCAGCTGAAGTTTGTATTAGTTTAATTTTTATTATTTATTTACTAGCTAATTTTATGAGATAAATATTTTCATTAATGCAAATATATATTTATATTTTGGTAGATATTTGTATTTAAATTAAACTATTATATATGTCACAAATGTATTATCAAGTTAACGCGATCTTCTAACTTCAAAATATATTATTTTAAAATGTTCCGAGTTCTTTTTCTTAAACAAAAATTCCAACAAATGTGAAAATATGTGAATATATAAAATGTAGTTGTTCTCTTCACATGTTCATATGACATCTAACCAATTTAACGTAGAATACACATGCAAAGCACATTTGGTTAGATGACAAGAAAAATACAAAACAAATATTATCTACAAGGTAATATTAGTGAGATAAGACTAATAACATGATTGAACCTCATCAAATTGAAAGAAATATATACATAATTGTATTTAACTAATAAAAATTTTCATTGACCATATTCATAGGTTTGCGTGAATAAGAGATATATATATGTCGATCAGCATTGAACATTCACAAAAGAATCTGCAATATTATTTTTTGCTAAGCTTATTATTCATATATTTGCTTAAATAAGCAATACTATTTACTGTAACATATATTTTTGAAACTGGTTGTCACGTGCAACGCACGTGTCAGAAAACTAGTTTTACTTAAAAGTGAAATGCTTGAAAACTTGAAATGGCACTGCATTTCTAAGGACCCGTTTGGCCCCAAATAAATTTGGGAAAACTTGGTCAGAGAAAAACTTGGGAAAACTTGGTTAGTGACGTTTGGCTACATAACTTGGAAAATATATTTGTCAAGAATTCCAAGTTCCCAAATACTAGAAAAAAATAGTTTTTGGTCAAGTTCTAGTATTTGGAAATTTGACGAGAGGGAGTTGCTTGGATGGTAAGCACCCCTCACTTCCAACCCGAAGGTTGTGAGTTCAAGTCACCAAGGGAGCAAAAAGGGGTGGGAGCTCCTAGGGAGGGGAAAAAAATAGTATTTGGAAATTTTAAATAATTCAAAAATTACCCCAAACTTTTATATTTTATAAAAAATACTCATAATATTTATCTACCATATCTATATATGACTACTAATAAATAACTAGATTACTCCTCTATCTATTAAACAACATGTTCACCAACCATATTAAACATCTCTATCTTTATATAACAAAGAAAGTTGCAAGACTACAGGAAAAGTGAAAGAGAGCCTAAGCATGGCAAAGAGTTATTTAATTATATACATGTCTCTTTGCATAATGTAATTTAAAGAACATTTGGTGTGTGGAAAAGTAGATTCAGAATACTACGGCAAGACATGAACAACTATGAATTAGACATGCAGGTAAAAATAGTAGTTGTTTGTGCCTTATTACATAATTTTTTTGCGTGAAAATCAAAACGGTGATGAAATATTCAATGAACATGAATGTGATGATATGGTTACTGATGAAGATGACGAACAATCGACTTAGAGTAACAATATTGTTTCATCTTCTCTGTCATCTAATCTAGAAATGAAAGCTTGTAGGGAAGTGATTTTTTGTAGAATGTGGGACGATTAAATAAAGGAATAATATGTTACTACCTCCTCCGGAAAAGTTTGAATTCTAATTTGAGCGACAAAATTGAGGATGAAGAACAATTTATTTTTTATTAGTTAAAATTATAAATGAATCAATGACAAGTTTGAATATGCGATTAACGTATCGCTCTTGCATATATTGTTATTTTGTTGTTGTTGATTGTTATCAATTATGTTATAAAGCTATTTTTAACGGAATATATTCATTATAAATAGATAATATAAATTTATGGGTAATTTTAATAATTTTTATAACTTATGAGTATAAATCGTATTTTTTGAACCAATCAAATATTCTTGAAAAAACTTAGAGCCAAACACATGGTGTAATTCCATCAATAACTTGGTCCAAATATTATTAGCGAAGAATATTTGGGAACTTGGGGTCAAACACTAGCTAAGTAAGATGTGCAAACAATGTATGTAAGCATCATTTTGAAAAGCAACGAAGATTTGGAGTTGCAAATTAAATGAATGAATCAACAAGAATTTGTGTCAACTATGTGTGACAAATGAAAAATACTATTTTCTTACTAGTCTGTTTTAAAAAATTGAGATTTTTTAAATATGACATCCATTTAATTTCAAGTTCTTACTCTATACTTAAAACAAGATTTATACATATCTAAATATTATAAAAGAATTAACGAAAAAGGACCAAATGGCTAAAAATACCAAACAGTTGTTGTTGTTGTTGTTGTTGTTGTTGTTGTTGTTGTTGTTGTTGTTGTTGTTGTTGTTGCTGTTGTTGTTGTTGTTGTTGTTGCTGTTGTTGTTGTTGTTGCTGTTATTGTTGATGTTGTTGTTGTTGTTGATGTTGTTGTTGATGTTGTTGTTGTTGCTGCTGTTGGTGTTGTTGTTATTGATGGTGGTGGTGATAGTGGTGATGTTGTTGTTGTTGCTGTTATTGCTGATGTTGTTGGTGTTGGTGTTGTTGTTGTTATTGTTGTGGCTGTTGTTTGGTTTCTAGTGTTGTTGTTGTTGGTGTTGGTGTTGTTGTTCTTATTGTTGTTGGTGGTGGTGGTAGTGGTGGTGGTGTTATTGTTGGTGTTGTTATTGTTGTTAGTGGTGTTATTATTGTTGGTGTTTTTGTTGTTGTTGGTGGAGGTGTTGGTGTTGTTGTTGTTGTTCTTGTTCTACTCATATTAATGTTTTGAAGAAATTTTTGGGTTATTAAAAATTAATTGCAATGAAATAAATAACAAGCAATTTTAATTGATGAATCTTTTTTAGTATAATTTTGTTTTTATCTTAATTTTTTTCTCCTAAGCTTTTTCGTGATTCGAGTACTTTCAATAGATGTATTTTTCAAAGTGCTGGATGATTTGAACCTTATAGAAATATGTTTGATTTTCAGGAATATCGGACAACACTTCGCAGTTCAAGTTGATCTCCTGTCAGTACTCTATTGATTAATCATTTGAAGAACTGTATAGTTGATGCCAATGCTTTCTAAGATGCTTATAGAATCTCTCCAAAAAATTATGTAACCCTCATATTTAATTTGTAGGAGGTAGGTAGTTAGAGTTTAAAAATAAAAACTTTTTTGTCTTCTTTTGATTGATTTAAGTAAGTCATTTAGCTTGCGACACTCGTAGGAATTGTTACCAAGAGCAACCTGTTGAATAAACCTGATTGTAATAAAATGAGCTCCAACACTTGAAGGCAAAAAATGCACCCCAAGAAGTCTAATTGTAATAAAATGAGCTCCAACACTTGAAGGCAAAAAATGCACCCCCAAGAAGTCTGATCTGAACTCTATTTGTCGTAGGCACCATGACCTGTCTCAGAACCCCTGTAACTTGAGGTGCTGCCGCCATAGGCCTGATAGGACGAGAAGGAATATGACCCTCACTGAGTTGATATCCACCTCGAAGTGAAATGATGTTATCGGTGTATTGATGGTGAGACCTCTTACCACTATCTCTGTAAGTCTCAAAGCATGCCTACTCACGAACCTTGTATGACTAACAACCTCGGGAAAGTCAGGCCCAACTGCTATCAAGTGCTCCGACGCCAACCGAATTGGCAAGGACAACCCCTTAAAGAATTCCTAATTCAAATCCCGATTCATAGGGAATAATGTCGGGGTAAGCCTGACCCATTCAACAAATTCCAATACATACTGAGACACAGACAAAAAGCCTTGTTTGAGACCAATCAACCCAACTCTGTCCTGAGAAGCACCCGTTGCACCAAGAACCACACACATCTGTGGTGTACCCTTGAAGAGACTCGGGACTCCTAACACTGAACCTCAAGAAGCCAAATTAGTCAATGACTTTGTCGGAGCCTGGGATGCCCCTAGACTCTGGTACTAAAGAACGTCTCCGGC